ATATTGTTGAATGAAAATTTTTTGCTCAAAGAGACGCGAATTATTATTTCCCTTAGGTTACAGAAACAAGTTTTGGATTACTTGCATTTAGGTCATCAAGGGATATCTAAGTGTAGAGAGAGGGCAAAGGTATCAGTATGGTGGGTGGGGCTATCCACTCAGTTGGAGAATATGATCCGTAATTGTCCGAATTGCATTGAGGAAAGATCAACTTCAAAGAACCATTTCTGAAAGATGATATTTCCACCAGAGCATGGCAAAAGGTAGCAATGGATTTGTTTAAGTGTATCGATGTCTGGTATCTCATTATTACTGATTATTTTTCAAGATATTTTGAGGTAATTCCTTTGAAATAAATGACACAAAAAGTCATTATATTAAAATGTAAGGAAGTATTTGCACGATTTGGTATTCCCGAATCGGATAGAACCGATAATGGTCCGCAGTTTCAATCGGAGTTTAAAAAATTTGCACTTGAGCTAAATTTTAAACATGTCACATCAAGTCCTTATTTTGCTCAGTCGAATGGGGAGGCGGAAGCCGCAATGAAAATTGCGAAAAATTTTATCAAAAAGAATAAAGACTTGTCTATGGCATTATTGTCTTATAGATCCACTCCCTTGCCAAATGGTTTTAGCCCAGCGGAATTGCTGATGTCGCATAAATTGAGAACTAATTCACTTATATTGCCAAGTAAACTAAATGAATTAGTGGATACTAAATCTTCGATTGAAACTGAGGAAAGAAGGAAACACAAACTTAAATGTGATTTTGATAAAAGGCACAAGGCTAAAGAATTGTCAGAGCTTTTTCCTGGTGATAGTGTTTGGATCACTGATTTGCGATGTTACGGAAAAGTGGTTAAAAAATTAGATGAACCACGATCTTATCTTATTGGAACGAGTGGGGGAATTTTCGGCGAAATCGCTGGTTTTTGGTATTAGCACCATATGCACAGTTTAGATCTTTTGACAGTCAGACTCAAACAACATTAAGTCAGACCCAAACAACATTACCAGAACCGGTGCCCAGTAGTTCTTTACACTCAGATGTAAACTTAGATAGAAGTGATAATAGTTCTAGTGAGTGTACTAATGAATTCGTGGAATCATAGGTGGAAAGTGCGTTTGGAATTAGTCCGGTTAAGAATAAACAAAAAGCTGAAAGTCCATTAAATAATTGGCCAGAGCGAATTAGGACTAAACTCAAGTGATTGGTTGATTATGTAAATTAGATAGAACTGAAATGTATATTTAACTTTAAGTTTAAAAGGGGAAAGATGTTGCATTAGTACACATTTTATGATATAGGTTTAGACGGTGTTGGCCACACTGAAAAGGTGGGGTTAGAACAGAAGATTGGAACATAGTGGCTGGATGTAAAACAAAACAGAAAAATAAACTGTATTTATAAAAGTAATGTTAATTTTGGTCTTCATTATTCGGGTAACGAATAAAACATCTACAAGGTGGTTAAAAAAAAGTTTTTTATGGAACACCTTGTATTTCGTTACAGTTTTGAATAGGTCAGGAAAAAATAATATGATTTTATATAAGATACTATGTACCTAACTATGACCGTTCTCGGGTTATTGATTGGTAACTAAATAACATTGAAATGTATAGAAATCATCCCTTCGAATTATGACGGAGCATAAAAAAGTTTTTGGGCTCTTGATTTCGATAAGACTTGTTTCTCAATAATAATAATAATTCATTTATTGACTACGTTATAAAGAAAATATTTGTAGCAGGTCAATTACAAGATATATGTGACAATCAAAGCACCTTATCAAAATAAATAAAAATATGAGATGAATATATACATACATACATATATACATGCACATATACAGACACATGTAAAAAACAAATATACAGACAGGATATTACAGAAATAAGATAAAAATAAAAAAGTATAATAAAGAATTATTGAATCAACATATAGTCGGTATCTGAAAATATTCGTTCACTGTGTAGAGACTGTGAGCTATTAAGAGTTTCTTTATCTTGAATTTAAATTCGGCATAACTCAAATTTTATAGTACTCTGGCAAAACATTATAAAGGTTCAAATTTAAACTGTTTCGAGATGAAGTCTCTAATCTAAATATTTTATTTAGAAGGAAAGAAACATGCCTAGTATTATATGTATGGTTTGTGTCACTTCTAGGATATGCATGGCAATTTTTGTGAATCTCCAGTGAACTCAAATAAATATAAATGAAAGGAACTGTTAATATGTTGAGTTTTCGAAAGTAATTTCGGCAAGAATCCCGAAGACCTAAACCGGCGACTATTCTTACAGCACGTTTCTGTAATGTCATGATTCGATGAGCATGTGTAGAGTTGCCCCATAACACAGTTCCATAAGATACATGAGAATGGAATAATGAGAAATATGAGATCAGAAGCACATCCGGACTAACTGATTTTTTGAGTCTCCTTAGCAAAAATAGTTGACTAGATAGTTTTTTTGCTAGGCAGTCAATATGTTCTGTCCACTTGAGGGACTGGTCTAAGGTTATACCTAAAAGTTTTACGGAGTCATGCTGATTCAATTTACTGCTCATAGTGACGGTAATTTCCTGAGTTTTTGTCTCATTTTGTGTCAGTTTATTTGGTATCAGCCACTTATTTATATTTGGCAAAATTGACATGTTTTTTTCTTTCAAATTTATTAAATTTGAATCGGAATGATAAAATGTAACATCGTCTGCGAATAAAATACCATTAATGTAATGAAGATGTTCAAATATATCCTTAATGTAAATAATGAAAAGAAGTGGCCCCAGAACTGAACCTTGAGGTACACCACAAGTAATTTCCTGACTAGAGGATAGTGTTGAACCATGAAAAACCGTGTGAACTCGTTGAGTTAAATATGATTCAAAAAATTTGTAAGCAATTCCTCTGACACCATAATATTCCAATTTCTGCAATAATACCTGATGCAAGATGCAGTCAAAAGCTTTACTCAGGTCACATAGAGTGCATATAGTGTGTTCACCTCTCTCAAAAGCATCGACCACATCGCTCACCAGTTTTGTTTTGATTTTAAAAAGTCAGTTGCTGAAACTGTGGTTGCGGGTAGTTGCTCTGTCAGTATACCGGCGATAGTTGAAAAATATGAAACAAAATCATCTGCTGATAAATTGCAGGGTATTGAAACATTATTAATCCTACCTCTCTCGAGATTAATCAGTCTCCAAATATCCTTGGACTTATTTTCCGAATTTATAAGATAGGTATATTTGTTCAAATTTGAGACATCACTAATTGTTTTAAATGTTATTAAGGTATTTCTAATTTCTTTGAGTTCATCATTAAGAAAATTTACTGGTTGTTTTCTTTGATTATTTGAGACGACTTCCAATGGAAAATTAATTTCAACAAGTTTTTTTATTGAGTCTGTAATAAAAAATGCGAGATTTTCAATATCAACTGAATGATGGGAAACACTCCAGTCCAATTCTTCAATCTGTTTTTTAAATTTCGCCACCTTATACTTTGTTATTTTTCGAATACAATTATTGCCGTTTCTATGGTTAAAGGACGAACTCTGTTTGATGAACTGACCTCGATGATCTGACAAACCTGTTTCTAAAATTCCGGCTTCATATTCTCCCTTGTCGAGATTGGTCAATATATTATCGATGCACGATTTAGTCCCAGTTCTAGGGTCAATTCTAGTTGGATCATTTATAACTATTTCAAGCCCAAAAGATGTTATAATACTCCCAAACTTTCTACATATACTGTTATATAACTCAAAATTGATATTGAAATCACCCAAAACAATGATTTGGATAAAATTATCTGATAGAAATATTAGAATTTCCTCAAGCTTTTCCATAAATATGTCATTATCTCCATGGAGGCACGATCTATACACAGTGACTAAGACTGTTTTATTTTGTGGTAATTCAATAGCACAAAATTTGGCATGATATGCAATACAGTATTTTTCGAGATTCAGTTGCTTAAACCTGATATAATTTTTGAAAAAAATTGTCACACCACCATGTTTATTTTGCTCTCTGCAGTAATCAGCTGCAAGGGAGGAATTGGTGAACCGTATCGCTGAAATATCGTATTTAGTGAGCCAATGTTCGCTCAAACAAAGAATATTGAATTCGTTTTCATATAGAAAGTGAGAAACAGAAACGATTTTATTAGATAAGCATTGTATGTTCAAGTGAAAGATACCTACCAATGTTCGCTCAAACAAAGAATATTGAATTCGTTTTCATATAGAAAGTGAGAAACAGAAATGATTTTATTAGATAAGCATTGTATGTTCAAGTGAAAGATACCTACCTCTATGCTGACACAATCACTCAGAGAATTATTTGAGTTTATTATGTTTCCGCCTCCCGAAAGGAGGAGGAAACATAATATCATACAGAATGTTCAAAAATCATTGTCACTTTTTTATAATTTCGGACAAAGATAACTTTGTTATTTTAAATAGAACATCCCGTACTTTTTTGTTCTGAACAATATAAAATTCAATTATTTTTCATTTCATCTAGCTACAGATAGGTAGCCCAAAAAGTGTATGAGGTGTGTATAAAAATGATCTAAAAGCCTTTATATTACCTATTCTAATGACAGAAAACAGATATTTCAACAAACAAAAAGAGCTCCTGACGAAATGTGGAGATGTTTTTGATCGCCTTCTGTTACAGGCAGAAACAATTTCGAAATTTATCTCTCAACACACATACCAGTCTTTTAATTCTCTGAATCTGATTTCAAAAAGAATTGGTAGGTATATAAAAAAAAATTTAATCACATACACTCCTGGATGGGCACAATCAAATATTCAATAACTATAAACCTTATTACTGTATCTTTGACCAGTTCAGGAATTTAAAAATTGTGTTGGAAACTGGTTTCTTAATTTTATATTACATAAACATCATAGAATTCTGAAATCTAACGGATAACTAAGTAGGTTGTGAACTGAATAAATAAATATTTTATTCATATATTACAGAGATGGTCTCATACGATCCTGTTGGAAGCGTGAAGCTAAAGAACGCCCTACGGCTTCGCAGATGGTGGAGTTCCTCGCAAATAATCCAAGATTACTTACCCCTTGCCTAGAGGGCCCCATATCTTCCCTTCAGATAGGTGATAGTGATCAGCTTGAGATGGTTCTAAAAGATACTAAAGTGTCCCCTACGAAATCAACAAGCAGTACTACTTTCAGATCACCCAGTTCTGTGTTCGCAAATAAAAATGAATCAGACATTATACCTATGGAAATATGTTCTCCAAAACAGCCACTATTAGGACCTAGGAGGTCAAGCAGCCCAAACATTATCAGTAAGCTTGTAGTGGGAAGCGAGAGGGAATCTGAGGATGATGATGATGAGTATTTAGATCAAAATTCATCTGGAAGGCAAGATAATACAAATGTATAGCTTCGGTTGAGTCTAAAGAAACTGTTATAATATTTCTCACTGTATCAAAATCAGGAATTGTAATTTCTTGAAGGCTATATAGGTTAATGAATTTTGAGGAGTTTTGGAAAGCTTGTAAAACTTTGAATCCCTTAAAATCGACTGATTATTCATAACTATATCTCTGAATTTTCATCAAAGAATCAGATATTTATTTCTTTCAACATTCCAAATATTATTCTGATAAATAGAGGATATGAGAAGTAGAGATAGTTAGAAATAATTTTACTGCCAATTGAAATAGAGATCTGTTGAATTCATCCTGCTCCTTTTATCGATCCGCCTAATTTCTCAAATGTTTCTGCTCTGGTCAAAGAAAAAAATCGAATTTAAATACTTGAATTGCATTTATTTTTACTGAAATACCAAACGTGTTCATGATTATTTCAGTTAAGGGAACTCTATATCCTGATTCCAGTTGTTAATTTTCAAATCTCCTCAAATAGTGTAATATCATTTTATATAAACTCATCGCCATCAAACATAAAATGAAAATAATGGAAATTCAAGTTACACCTGGATATTTTTGATAAACAAATATTTTACTACCACCCTTCTTCACGATCTTCAGTTTTTTCTAGTCAACGATTTTTAGCGAGAAATGAGACTTTTATATACAGTTGATCACAAGAATAGTATTATAATTCCATTTATCACAAACAAATGCAATATAGACCTTTACAATCACTTTCACGTGTCTTTTAAGTGATTCACTATCATATGGATTCGCTACCTCAATATTGGACTTCTTAGCCGATTACCATATAAACAGGCTGCTTGAGGGAGGCTCAAAAGGGTGATTCATTATTAATGAAAATTAAATTTCATTTTCATTCATGAACCGCTAAAAATGAATGGTTGCATTCGTGATGAAAAATTTCGATTAGACATTGATTTAGATAACGAGGTAAAAAAACAGCCTTTTTTGAATGTCAAATAATGGACTTTATTATGATGTATAACTTGTGTTGTGAGTTGAAACCTTTTGAAAATGAATTTAGTGAAAAATTACCTTATAACAGATAAGTTATAACATTTACTCAGGTATTGATAATCCTGGCAATATAAAGTGAAAATTTTTATTCAGAATATAACCATTATAATAAAGCAGTTTCATGTTGACAATAATTTTCACTTGTTTAATGTACTCAGGTAATTTCAAGAATTGTTTTCAATTTCCAACAATGAAATAATTATTAATGAGTCACCCCTATGATACAGATTCAATGGTTCACTAAATATAAAATGTAAAAAATAATGTGTAATATTCACCAGATCCAGATAAAGGTTTCACATGAAAAGAAAATTCTGTAAAATTTTGAAGGAAAACTAGAATCTGTACCATGGATATCAATCTCACATAGAAACCATGACTGCTATGTTCCTTAATACTTTAAGAAACAAACCTAATTAATTTAAAACATATTCAAGACTTTTGTTTTAGAATGTTGTAAGTGTTTTTGTACTGATGTAGATAGTTTTGATGTATATTTTATATGAATTCAATCAAACCAAAAGTAAGTAATATTATAATATCCTGAGACTTGAATAAAATATGTTGATTGCAGACTTCCATGAGACTTTTGTAGATCTTGACATGAAATATTCCGTTCTTTTTTTATGTACTTTCAGATATCAAAAGTCAATTACAATAATGAGTTGTTCTCTTCTGAACAGTAATAATCTTGTCAGGCTCGACCCATTCACTCTTTCTTGCTGAGGAGTTCCAGAAAAGGCTTCTAATCAAATATATGAATATACACATACAGACTGCTATAATAAAAAAATAGTATCTGTCATTGAAATAGAAAACAATCATTGCAATCACAAAAAAAAACAATAATTTGACCCACATCTCAACTCATTTCAAATTCAACGATGGGTACTTAATTGTTAAAAATATCAAAATTCTCTTAGAAACTCATGGAAAGTTGCATGTTTGGACGCAACCACTTATTTTCAAAGTAGATATAATGATAATAATTTAAATTAGTTGTAAGTCCTTTTGAAAAGGAATGGTTTTGCAAATAGGAATCCACTCAGTACCATCAATGCTAAGTTCCTTATCAAGCCAAAGATATGTAAGATAATTAATGTTTTTCCAAGGTTAAGAAAAATAGTATTTTCTGAAAATGATATGGCAAATACTACAAACGTTTTTTGCTAAGAATGTCCAATATGACCCAACTTTTTTCCCAACCATGTCTTCTTCACCTAAAAACTATTTGTTTGTATTTTTTCCCAACTATTCTTCACCTAAATTCTTTGTATTCAAAATTATGTCACAGTTTTGAGATAAAAAATTTGTTTTAACACTTTTTCAAGCAAATAGTGCGAACTACTGTAATACTGAAAACTCTTAGGATTGTTACTAGTGAATTCCTTATGACAAAACAATGTATGTTGATGAGAGATTTGATGAATGCGGGAGTGTAAATTGCTTTATTGCATTTTGTACCTGACTACTCAATTAGTTTTTAATACTTACTATTTATACTATGTATTTCGTCCAAATATTTTTTCAGGATAAAAATTAATATTAATTTCTACAATAATAAATACAATAAGATCAAAATGGTATTTCACTTTTGCACCTAATATCTTCATCCTGTTATTAATGCACAAAGGAAAATTTGATTCGTAATGCTTTGGGGAATCCAAGTAATTTTCACATACATTATTGAGGTATTTTAAAGTTAGTCAAATTCAGATAATCATAAAAATAGTTTAGGTTCATTGTATATCTATCTACTCAAGTACCTGATTTGAAGTTTCATTATGTAATTCAAAATGTCTCCAAAAGGTGTAGAAAATTTGAAGCTCCTAATTTGATTCATCACTCTAACTATCACATTAGGGAGAGTTCTTGCAACCTATATACTATGTTATCTCTATGTGTAATGCTAAAATTTTGAGTGTAAGTGTGAAGGCTTTTCTCTAGCATCTGCTAGATACCTGCTCAGTAGCTATATGAGTACCCCACCATCCCATACCCATGTGATATTAATCACATAATATTCATTAGTTTTTTTAATGATCTGAAAGTGCTATTTTCTTTGATCCTTGATTATGTGAACACTGCAATCAGTCCTTTTGAAAATTATATATCAACACCTCAAATTATTGTACTGTTGTTTCGGCAACAAAATGGTTGAATATTCATAAGAATTGTTATTCATATCGAAATAAAACTATTTCTATAGTTCAATTATGAGGGAAAAAAATATTTTTCGGAGGTACATTTTAGTCTGTGTTCAACATTTTCTCTAATATAAATAAATATCAATGTAACGAGTTGCATGTAAAAATGAAAGCAGTCGACAAAAATATTATGGGAACAAGATTGGTTAGACACAATGCAGCAAAATTAAAGAATGAAGATAGCAATAGATTCTTACTAATATAATAACAATTATATCAAGCAAAAAAACTGAAATCACAATTAAATAAAATACAATCAACAACCTAAAAATAAGAAAATTGAACTATTAACACGAGATGAAAATTAATAAATTATTTATTTTCATCTCCAGGAACCGAATGCCCTTCTTAATCAAGATACTAGTGTTGGTCGAAGACTATCTCCGGGGACCAATTAAAGTCCAACACACACGTATTACTAAATATACAACAACTAAGTTGACTGTTGATCAGATGTATGCATACTCAGCTGTTGTTAACTCAAAGACGGAAATTTACAATAATGATAACAATAAAAACAATAATGATATCAATAAAAACAATAATGATAATAAGTAAACATTGTAACAACAATGAGAAATTGAAAAGGGATTATTTTTAGAACTTAATTTTTGGGAATTACATTTTTGTCTCTCAATATAAAGAGTGCAGACGATATGAATGGAGAACCAGAAGACTTTTTTCCAGCAATAAGATACTTTACGAATGCTTTTTATCTCAAGATACTCTCTCCATTTCTACATCAAATTGTTTTGAATTTTCCAAAGTATCCAGAAGAAATTTTCCATCAACTGAATTCTAACGTGTGATAACAAGTGAAAATCGATCGTTCAGCCTGATGCTTGAACCACCGACCAACATGGCATTCGATTTGAGTGAGTGAACAAAACACTCACGTCGAACCGACCGACTACCGACCGACAAAAATGAAGATGCAAGTCTCCACACTAATTACATCATACCGCCACCAGAGAAGAAGCGAACTCAGCATTACCTCCTGACTCTGCAGAATTAACTTGTTTGCTCATTTTTGTTTTATTCAAGTCAGTCAGTTACTAGCATTCATACTGTTATCATCGTTCTTTGAGCTGAAAATTTGAATTTCGTAAATAAATAAATATTTTCAAAAAGGAATTTCCATAACTCGTTGATGTTTTTGGCGCAGTCGGTAAGATAATCAGAATCGTGACAAATCGATCGCGCAGTTTTAGTGTTGACGATTGACTGATTATCGAACTCAAAATCGAATTTTTGGTGATTAGTTTGTGGACTTAGATTACGGAGTGGCTTCTCAAACTTCAGAAAAACTAGTGTATTGGAGACCCGTACCTATTGTCAATAGCCTTTTATTGAGTTTTGGGACCAACATAGCCCAATTCTGCAAGGAGCACTGCCTGGAGAAGACAGAATAGCCAATCCAGACGCAACCCCTCATAGTGGATAAATAGATAAATACCATGTTCAAAGTCGTACTCATTTTGCTGTAAGTACAATTTTAATGTCGCTCAATCAACTGTTGAATGCATTAGAAAATTTGGATATAAATACTCCTTCAATTGACTCACAAAGATTTTCAAACTCTACACCACCCCTTCTTATTATTTTGTCAAATCAACACGCTGATCTAAATATGGCTCAATTCAAAGCAGAATATTCAAATTGCTTACCAGAATTCAATGGCAACCCAAATGACCTCAACAGATTTTTATCAATTAGTGAATCACTTATCACAAATTTTTACGATAACACCAATGTAGATAATTTTCAAAACATTCATCTGCTGAACTCAATATTTTCTAAATTGAAAAGAAATGCAAAAACTATAGTGAACATTCGAGGTGCCAAAAGTTGGCAGGATTTGAAAACAATATTAACTAGAAATTTCTCAGATCAAAGAGACGAAGTTTATTTAAATAGAGACCTTGTTATGGTTAGACAATCTCACATCGAAAACGCTCAATTTCATGATAGATAATTGAATATTTTGAATTTGCTGTGTAGCTACGTAAATGTTCATGAAACAACGGATGTTGGTTGCCAAATCTTTGAAATGCTAACTTTATCAAAAATTAGCACTAAAAACATGTTTATCCGGACTCAAAGAACACTTAAGCACCGCACTAGTTCACATAGTGAAGCACTGCAATATGTAATACAAGAGGAAAATGTTCAATATTTTCAAAATTTTTCAAATAGAAATATTGCGAAATCTGTTCAAAACCAAAGACCTATACAACAAAGATCAGTGAATATTCCAAAGGCAAAATAACTTCCCTTCCCAGCCTAATAATATTCAACAAAGGCCCAGACCTCAACCGCAACACGTTCCTACACACGCACAGGTTTTCAAACAACCGCCTCATTCAAATCTCAAAACAAACCGCAACTTAAACCTTCCCCTATGAGTTTATCAACACGAAATACTCATATTAACCAACACAAATGACTGTTTTCACGAGAAATACTAATTTTGCACAGCCGCCCACGTCCTTTGTAAATAGGAGACAACAGCCTTCAAGAAATTGGATTAACGAAATACTATTCAATACAGAAACAGGATAAAATCAATGAACTCGATCCATATTTTGAAACCGATGATTATTTTGAAACTGCTCAAAATATTGCCATCGATAACCAAACTGAATCTTATAATGAAAATTTCATTTCGGAAGACACTTAACCACCAGAAAATGAAAATATAAATGTTCATTGAGAGCCTCGAAAAATTTCAATACGAACCCACAAATAATTTCTTTCAATTCCTCAAATTCAAGTGAATTGTCATACATCATTTTTCCAGAGTACGATCTCAAACTTTTGATTGATTTCAGTTCAATCAAATCATTCATTGACCTCGAAATCACCTATAAATGTTTTCCACATTCAACGATCCATTTATAGTATCTACCGTTTTTCAAAAATCTGCTCACTAGTACAATGCCGAACTTCCTTCCTCACAAGTATTCAATTTACCAAAACCAATAAGTTTGAAATTTTTCTTATAAAAATTTCATAACGTTTTTGGCGGTCTCATTGGTCTAGACAACCTTAAAATCTTACAAGCTAGTATCAACTTCGACAAAGGATATTTAATAACACCATACACAAAAATAAAACTTTTATTTTATCAGACTAGTAATGAAGTTAACAGAACAAGTGATTAAAATCAAAACATCTATTTCTAATGGCGAAATTGTAATACCTCATTATAAAATTCATAATTGTCTAATACCACAATGCCTCAGTACAGCAAAAAAAAATGGTTTTGCTTTAACAACCATTTTAAATAACATAGTTAAACCAGTAACGTTAGATTCTTCGAACCCTTTCTCAGTCGAAAAATTTGATAGTGAAGTCCAAAATATTGACTCAAACAATTTTGAAATATCTACCAACCGAAAGTTAGACCTGTCAAAGATCAGAACCGAGCATAATTATAAAAAAATAAGAAAAATCAAAAATTCTCGAAATTTGTTTTCTGATATATTCTATAAAGAAGGAACTCCCTTGAATTTCACAAGCAAGATCAGACACCACATACGATTGACAGACGAAATACCTATATATTAGAAATTTTATCGATACCCGTTTATTCATAAACAGTAAGTTGAGGACCAAAAAAAATGTTCGATTCAAAAATCATTAGACCAATTAATTCCCCATGGTCATCACCCATATGGGTCGTCCCCAAAAAGGCTGACGCTTCAGGACAACAAAAGTGGAGGGTACTTATCAATTATCGGAAGCTCAACGAGAAAATGATTGACGATAAATATCCCCTTCCAAACATTCATGATCTCTTGGATAAGCTTGGGAAATATCAATATTTCACGACATTAGACCTGGCGGTTTTCATCAGACCGTGATGAAAGAGAAAGACATCGAAAAAACGGCGTTCAACACGGAAAATAGGCATTACGAAATTCTCAGGATGCCATTTGGTTTAAAGAACACTCCAGCAACTTTCGAGAGGGCAATATAAAATATATGACGAGGAATCCAGAACGAAAAATGTACAATATAATTGTATTTTCCACCTCTCTTAAAAAACACATGTAACGACTCAGATGCGTATTTCAAAGGCTCAGAGATGCTAACTAATGTAGCCCTAGAGGTGCCGTCTTATATCGCAGGAAACTATAGGTAAAAATTTACCTGTGGTATACGTCTCCCGAATCGTAAATGATTCAGAACCGAATATATCTAGACATATCTATGGTAGTAAACGTAGAGGTACCCAATACTGAAAACCAATTCGAAGAAATATCTATTTCCCTATTGAATAATAGTAACAAAATCGAACAAACTCGCGAGAACAATACAAGGACAGATAATGAAACCACCTTAAAAATACCCAGGAAACCGAACAAACCG